AGCTTTCCAAGCTTTTGCAATTCCTCTTCTTTTCGATGGCAAATGACCGGATTGCGTGCGTTGGCTCACGCTTACAGGTAAAATTGTCATGTGCCAAAGTTCAGTCGAGTGGAACGAATTTCGTCGCGTCCTAAGCTCAACTGAATGCAATTCCTTGATCTTTGTTTACCGTGTAACATTTTGGTTAAAATCCCACAACAACTAGCTTTGCAAAGTGAATTCTTAATGCTCAGAACATTTTTCTTTTCGCTCCAGTTGATAGTCCGCTCAAGCTCCTGACACATAGGTCACGTTAATTTTAGTCGGCGAGCTGGCAACTCGCGTTCTAATTTAGTCGCCAGCTCCAAAATTCTAGTCGCCATGGCAACTAAAATGGTCGCAACTTGGAGGGTTGATCTCTAAACTTTCACGTTGACGTGAGATCAACATATAAGTGTTTTTTTAAAGTGAAATGAGCATCTCTGTGGTCACACAATCTCATGAAATCAACATTTAACTGTTCCTTAAGTGAAAAAAGCATCTTTGAGGTCGCCTCTTGACCTGAAATAAACATTTTGCCTTTTTTGAAGTGAAGACAAATTTATTGCTTTCAAAGCTTGAAGTGAGGCAAAGTTTTTTTCTTTGATTGAGGACCAGAAACTTGTTTTGAGCTTTTTTCTGGCAATTCAGCAAAATGTAACCTTAAATTCTATATAAGGCGGATATACATACGGCCCTTCAACTGCCATAATCTCTAATTGTTCGGCAATCAGGTAAAATAAGGATTCAACTGTCCTTAAGCTACTGGTAAGCTTAAGGTGTGTTGAGTTCAATTAATAACACCATCATGTCACCAAAGGGTGCCACCTTGTTCCTCTTCTTTCAATCAATGTATTGATCTTCGCCTGTTCTTGTCTGAAGTGGGTTTACTGCTTGACTTAAGTTAGGTGAGCAACCCTTCAAGCACACTATTGTGTTCATCATGAAGGGATATTAACTCCTACAGAAAGATAAACAAAATCACTTAATTTGTTGCAAGGCTATATCTCTCTCCTCTATAACAACCATGTACCCTCTACATGGAAAAGGGAAAGTGTGGCCATTTAAAGAAACCAGGAACTTCTTTGTTGCTCTCCTTTTCCTGACTGTGGTCTTTGACCTTCACTTTGTCTTTTATGTACAAATTCATGTATATGCATTTAAGCCAAGCAAATAGACCATATTCATATCCTCAGTATTGGACTGGATCTAGCTTGAAACGAAGGCTCATGCGGCAGAATATCATGAAAAAGAGATAAATGCCATTTGCATTTGAAAAGACTCTCTGCATTAGCCTTAGTTGAGAGCAAGATTCAGTCCAATGCTGGGAATACGAATATGGTTTATTGAATCTATAACAACAACTGACACAAAGTCACTGAGCCCTTTGCAAACTTCTGCTATCTAAAATACAAGTTTATATAAGCTTTAAGGTTGGAATTATATTAAGCATATTATACGAAAATAAACTCAGTTAACTCTATAATAATACACATGAAAAAATTACTCAATTCTGATTGGCTAAGAGCAGTGCAATTCAAGTGTAACACAAGTGCAAAAAGTGTAACATCAGTGCAAAAAGTGTACCACCAGTGTAAATTACACATTGAAATTCTGGATTATGATTTACTGAAAGACAATAGGAACTTTTCTAAGAAAATGATATCAGGTAAAATGATGACAAAAATTTTGTGATGAAACTTTGAAAAAAGTTTTCTCAAATGAGAAAAAATGGCTTCAAGAAAGATCTTCCGGCACTTCCTCCACGCGAATTTTTTCATGTTTATATTATTAATAAGTAATCATACGGTTTTTTTCGCTCAATTTGGAGTTAAGTTGCACTTGTGAGTTTTTCAAAAAGCTCACTCATGCAAATTAATTCCAAATTGAACTCGAAACCGTATGATTACCTATACCGGTACTTAGTGCAGCTGCAGCCATTGTCCAACTATTCGTATTGGTGTGCATGTTCAAATGAATATGCATGTTTAACCCAAATATGTCAACACACTTCATAATTTGCAAGAAGTAGACCCAGATTTTAGATCCTAGAAATATATATCAATGGCAAAAATATGTCCAAGCCACTTTTTGAAGTTTGAATCAAAATGTTAATGCTGTAGCTTACTTATACATACTGAAGAAACGAGGGAAAAACGAGTAAAAAAATCATGGATTTAGGCTTGAAATATGGCTAACAGTTGACCATTTGTGACTCAAATTTTCCCATCCTGAGAAAAAATAAATTACAGCCTTAACATCAAACTGTTACCTTAGTCATCTGTGTGTGGCTTGGGCGGGATGGTTTGCGCAAAAAAAAAGAAAATAAGGCAGTTAAATATTTAACACTGTGTTGCAACTAACCAAAAACAAAACAAACTTGAGGAAACACAATAGTAAATTGTCCTATACTTACACCATATTCACACCATCTTCTTCCTCAAAACTTTCCACTAAGTTCCACCATGTTGAAATACGCCCCTAGCTAATCAGCGTGTTCAATACACTACATGTGACCTATAGTTTTCAAACCCAGTCTCTTCTACTATCCATGGTGATATACACACTCAGTGTCACAGAGAGAAAACCTCTTAGGTAACCCTTTATATAGTGCACCTATCTGCCTCCGATCCCCACAACCCACTCCAGGAATAATTAAGTAATTGATATTTAATTATTTCATTCATGGACCATTTAAGTCAAGAACAACTAATAACAAGGAACTTGGTCAGCAGATCAACAAAACAGTTAACAGGAATCGAGGGAAATCGCATCACCAAGAAATAACCGAAATTTCTAGGTACGCTAAAAATGGACCTATCAGTCCAGTAAACGCCCACGGATTATCAATAAAGCTGTTCAACTAATTTCGAAACTTCGCTCGTTGTTACCTCAAATTCTGGGGATTTTTCAACAGCAGTTCCGATGACACTTGCCCTCGAGAGATCATGGTATCGGTGCCTCTGAGCTACCAGAACCCGATAGATTTGTCTGCCACTTTGCTGTAATACCCTTGAACTAGTCATTTCAATTTTCAATTAATTAACAGTTGCAATAAACGAAGAAGTACCCTGTCCGTCGAACTGTCCTCCTCTTTGCCACGGTTTTTGCCACGCGAAAGCGAATTACTGGCCAGTGGTGCCTGGCAATAAGAAGTGAGTACTTTGTGTATGACAAATTTGGACGACTTCGGCCGGGGTGTGTGCACGAACGTCCATGTAGCAGTAGGCCATATTCGTGTCGCGGTTGAACACTGACGTCAGACGATGCGTCCCCAATGTTCGGCAGTTTCCAATATGGCGGCCAAGTGTCGAGGCGGTCGTGAGAATTCCCAATTCTTTCTAATATTGTACTTCTGAGTTATCTGTGAAATTAGTATCATTTAAGGTAGGTCTTAAGGATTCTATAAATGTATCATTTTGTTCTTAGTAAAGTTTATTTGGTGAAAAACGTCTAAACACGCATTTTTGCAGTCAAGAAGGGTCCCTTTGAGTCATCCCTTGGTCCTTTTGAGTCATCGCGGTGTGAAAAGACCATATCGAATATATTTTTTTGCTAGAAAATTTTACAGCATTCCATTTTCGAGCTTCATTAAATAATTGTTTGCCTAATAATGAAGCTGAGTTATATAATGTTATTGATTTTTCGTTGTACTTAAATAAGTCTATCTTTGTTATTGTCTTTCAATTAAATTGTAAAACAAGCATTCCACCTAACGTTGTATAATGGCCGTTGATGGGGGCCTATTTCTTCAAGCATTTATGTTTGTCTATAGACTTCTCATCACTCTTTGATTGTAAAGCTTGTTACAAAGAATACTTTTATGGTATCAAAAAGTGGTGGAATAAAGTGAAAGTGAAAGTGAAAGTACTAAATGCCTAAGCTTAAATGTATAGTTTTATTCTTTGTAAAGTTTCTCTTTTATGCAAAGCGTATAAAGATGTATTTTTACAGCAAGAGGGGTCCCTTTGAACCTTAATACTCACCAACGATGTAAAACCAAGGGAAACAAATAGCTTAAAACAATATAAAGCAGGAAACAAAAAGCCCCAAAGCAAAGAAAAACTTTACAGGTAAACCCCTTTCAAATATATTTTATTTCTAGACAATTCAGCAATTAAAGCCAAAACATTTCTAATTATAACATTTCTAATTATAGCATTTCATTTTCAATTTTCATGAAATAATAACAAAGCTTAGCTGTAATTTCCTTGATTTTTTCATTATACATCACACTATACTAAATAATATAAATGTATATAGTTTTTCTTTGTAAAGAATATTTTGTGCAAAACATATAAACATGCATTTTTGCAGTCGTAAGGGGTCCTTTTGAGTCATCGCTTGGTCCTTTTGAGACGTCCCGGTGTAAATTGTTCATGTAGCAAATAGATTTCAACCTCGTTCCCAGGGCTTTTCCCTTTGAAATTGGAGCCCTGGGAACGAGGTTGAATAGATTTTATTTCTAGACAGTTCAGCAATTAAGGCCAAAACATTTATAGTATTTCATTGTTGATCTTCATGAAATAATTGTTTGCATAATAACAAAGCTTAGCTGTAATTCTGTTGATTTTTCATTATACATCACACTATTCTAAATATTGTAAATGTAAATATTTTTTTCTTTGTAAAGTTTATTTCATGCAAAACATAACTGAGCCATTTCCCAAAAACATACCTGGTAGGTTTTAGCCTGGATTCGGGCTGTGTCCTAATCCAGGCTAAGCCAGCGACTTGAAACCCAGGAGGGACTCTGTCAAGGCCAGGCTGGGTACATGGCCCAGGCCTTGGCCTATCTGCTGGCAGGTTTCTGGGGGTCAGCTGTCAAAAGCAGGGGGAGGGGAGGGTGTCTTGTACTGACACCCTTAGCTAGCTTGACTTTGAGTTTTTAGTGTTAGATAACCTGGTTATTGACTGTGTTTCTGGGTATTTTACTCCGTTGTTGAACCTTGTTTGAGGTTTCTGTGTTGACATGGCACCCTGCTTGAGTGGTCCATGCCACGTGCATTCGTGACGGGCCAGTCTCCTGGCCAGGGGGTGCTCAGAGGACTTCTGGCTGGTGGGATTGTCTTTGAGTCAATGCAAGCATGTTTTTTTGAATTCGGTCAGATATAAACACAGATTTTTGCAGTCAAGAGGGGTCCTTTTGAGTCATCCCAGTGTGAATTGTTCATATCGAATATGTTTGTTTACGAATATTTTGCATATTATATGAAAAAGCTTCAGAGGTGTCTTTCTATTCTACACCAACAGCTACTAAAGCAAACTGATTACAACCTCATCATTAAACATGGGAGCACCTTGCATAGAGTGTTAGTGTCTATAATACAAAATTTGAAAGCAATTGAAATAAAATGAAATCTCATGCCCTAAGACTAATATGTTATATCCTGTGCGACTTACACGAAGTAGTTGTTAGATGATATATTTAGTGTAACTCGCATGAAGTGTGTTAGAATTAAACCATGTGCTTTTAGAGTGTACACATCGAGCTAGAGTGAATTTGGAGTGTTACATTGGCAATGAGGAGAAAAACAAGACAGAATTATGACGGAACAAACACCAGCAACAAGTGGAGCAGCACAAGCGATTCAAGTCGTCACAGAGACTAGAAACCTTCGAACACAGCCATTTATCATTCCTGACGAAGCGAACAGCGTCGGCAAAGCATGGGAAGAATGGCTGGAGGGAATTGAGCGAGAATACCAATACTTCAGAATTACGAAGGCCGTCAATAAGAAGGATGCTATAATAATTTAC